GTCTTCATCAGGGGTGATCTAAAGGTTTGCGATAAACATCAGTCTCTAACTTCCCTTCGACAGTTCGGTGCACATTCAAATCTAAAAAAGCTAAATGTCCATTTATCTCACGTTCTACCGTGAATTGGATGGACGGCTCAATAGAATTTAAATGTTGCAGCAGAATATCGATTTCATTTCTTGAAACCACAGAGATGACATCATCGACGAAACGTTTCCAAAACGATAGAGCTACCAGAACAGAGGCTAACGCTCTTTGTTCGATATCTTCCATTGCTAAATTAGCAATTACTGCCGTTACTGGTGACCCCATCGCTGTTCCAAAAACCTCAGTGATAATAACAGCCCTCAAACACAAAGTATGTGGCGTTGAGACAAAAAGAAAGAAGATCAATAATATCTTCTACAGGCAAGGATGTTCTTTGTAACAAAGTGGCATCCTATCTTAGTGTTTTTGTCGCAACCTTGTTGGCAAGATCAACAGGAATGTTTGTAAACAAGGAAACGACATTAAAATGATACCAACACTATAGTACTGTACTTTATCTGCTTTAAGAGTTTTACCTCTTACAAATTCTGCAAAATGACAGGAGTTTTTCACAGTGTTTTCGGTATTCCCCACCACAGGGGACAAAATTTTCGCCAAAAACTTGAAACTCCATATGTAGGAGAATTTACAAAGGACGCAATAGGTCTCAATGGATATCCGGTTTATGAATTTTCGGTAAACCATAGAAACGCGGAGATAGTCCATCACTGCTGTATAACTTTTCATATGTAGCCTTGCTGATAATATTAGATTCCTTCAAAAGAAGTAACTTGGCGTTTAAACCTCTTCGAGTCTCTCCAGTAGGAATGTAGGATCAGACTTGAGAGTAGAATACGTATTTATGTTCTTTAACAGTGAAAGAGCCTTCTCGCGATAATCATGTTTGTCAATAACAACAACACAATTGCCCGCTGAAAGAATACCCCTGTTCGGATCTTTTTTAAGAGCAAGTAAAACTTTGAAAACATTCGAATCAATGTTTTTTGGAGGTATTTTGGCACGTCTAAGAATGCTACTGACCTCAGCTCTTACCAATCGCTTAGCATCATCCTCTAGTGGAAAAATTCCTTCTTCAACTGAAGCAATGATTTCAGCTGTTGGAATTCTGTTATAGGTACAACCGCAAATTTTAGGGCGTGTTCAAGATCCTTCCTTTCCAACTCACTTAGCTCTTTACATGAGAGGTTTTTAACCCATCTCTTCTTAAGGTTCGAACTCGATTTATCAGATGGTTTCGTTCCAATCAGATGCAGCAATTTTTTGTCATGCTTCTCTCTCTGTTTGATCGATTCTTTGCGAAATTGCGAACGACAAAACTCGTCGATCCATAGGACTTCAGAGCAGTCGATCAAATCAGAAAGCTCGCCCAGTAAACGTTGACAATCAGAGCGCAGACGCTGTATAGACTGATGACAATCGTTTATATGCAACCTCAGGAAAGAAAAAACAGTATTTTCCATTAGCTTGTATCCCTTTTTTCTCCGTATTGGAGGTTTGAATCGCAAGCTGAACGGTAAAACTTTGTTTTCCTTGCACCGATGATTGAAATATAAATGACTACGATATTTGGCAATACCAATCTTCATGTTGATGAGCTTTCGAAGCCTCGAAACAACATTTTGACCATATTTTTCTCGTATAGATTTAAAGTTTGTTAGTTCACTGCAACCAGAAATATCAATCATGTTTCGCTCGCTACTCTGGTTTAAATAAATGATTAAATATAAATTATTTAACAAACTGATCGTAAACTATTGAGATCCCCTTGTTTTATAGCCATTGTTACGCATGATTGCACTTCGAATAGTAATCTATTCTAACTGCCCTCAGGCTCCAATTGGCTTACAGGTAGATTGTTTTGGGAAATGCGAGCCCTGACGCCGGGTAAGATCTCCTACCTTCCCAACTGGGTAACGTTAGCCCTATCCTACCCTTAATCCTAACATTACCCGAAACTTATTCCCAAAACTTACCCCATATCCCATAACTGCTTTTTCCCGAAACTAAGCAATAATCGGTGGGCAAATAAGTGAAAGAAAATGCAAAACATTATGTCATTAATTTTGACAAAGACAATGCCATGCAAGCCGCTATAGATATACACTAGATATCCATCTTTCCTTTCTGGATAACAAAAACAAAGAAACAAGTTCAAACTGGAGGATCTATTTGAGGGATATCGGATAGGAACAGGGTGGAATCATAATCGTGATCTGCGATTCAAATGTTGCATGATAATAAACTAAACGAACAAGCTTATATATACGAATAAAATTATGGAATACCATTACACGGCACGATATGTGTGTCGTTTCGTGCAATAAATTACTTGGTTCGTAAATAAAATTCCTTAAATTTTCACAGTGAGCTGTGAAAAGTTAGTACAATGCGACACAACTAGAGAGACATATACGGTTGCAATGATAGTCAAAATGTGAGAACTGCTAAAAATGATAGGTCCATTGACCCAGAAAATGATATATCCATTGGCCTATGTCCATTGACCTATGTCCATTGGCATATGTCCATTGACCCAGCGACTTAACGATCGATAGAGCATCATGTTTGAACGTAAACTGACACACATTAAAACCTGTCCGCTCTTGGCTTAGAAACAGCAATTCTGCCCAATTCGTTACGTTAGACGTTATAAAGATCATATGCTCTGGTTACGTTAGACGTTATAAAGATCGTATGCTCTGGATCGACAACACGTGTAGGCGAACCCTAGCTCCACGTAAACCATCAGTCATTGAGCATTCAGTGTCGGGTGGCTGTACCGCAGGTCAACATACTGTAGGTACGACTGGAAAGGATAGCAAGAAAACCGCAGGGATCGCTTACCCCATTGTCGGTCCCAGGCAGCCCCTAGAGGCATAACATGCATTAGACGCCCGCACTCGGTTCCAACAATAGTTGGGCGAAGGTATAAGGTAAAAAACTGATCGTAATGAAACATAGGAAGGATATGAAATCAAGTCACGGTATAACAACATGCGGGATCGTCTAACTATGCAAGACAACTTCTTACACTGAGTCCTTTGATTCATAACGGACGACTTCTCGGCCTCTACCGAGTTATGTGAGCCGCGAAACATACTTGCCCACTACCAAATAAGTTTAAGTTGAAAGAAACAAAACATAACACCTCAGGCACCACCGAGGAATTTGATTTAAAGACGTACTCGCTCGGCCGCTACCGAGTTATGTGAGCCGCGAAACATACTTGGCCACTACCAAATAAGTTTAAGTTGAAAGAAACAAAACATAACAGCTCAGGCACCACCGAGGAATTTGATTTAAATTAAAGACGTACTCGCTCGGCCGCTACCGAGGGCGAAATTGATTTGTTAAATCCCTTGCCGGCCTCCACCGTACCGAGTCATTTAAATTGTAAACACCAACTGCGTCCCCATGAGGGCAAGTTGTATGGTAATTACATATTGGTAGATAGGAATTGATTAGTGAAATATTATTTTGGGCAAGAATGCGCACGGTGCGAACTGACGACCACGCGTGTCCACGTGAGCTTATATACACAAATGTGTATAGCGAGGCTATTGGAATAATAAATGTTATGCTATGCTATGTCATGTTATGAGTAAGTCTATGCAAATTGAAGGATGAATGGCCTTCCATATTCAAAGAGACGAAAGCTAAAATGTAAAGAGTATAAACTGAATTTAAATATTGGCCTCAACCAAAACATCGCCTTTCGCTCTCCGTCGAACTCGATCAGTTACAACTCCATATAGAGTCCAAACCACTGAGCTATAAATATATGGAGAGCGCAACTATAGATACAGAAATTGAAGCCGGAAGTCGCGCGCGGCCGCCATCTTACTGTGACCACCTTGAGGAGTGAGCTATTGTGATTAATACGGTATTTTCAACTGTTTTGTTCTGTTATCTCGCAATTGAGGAACAAATCATGTCAAATATGGTATTTTAAGAAAAAGCACGTGTTCAAGAATGTTGGGGACCTCTTTTACATTCAAATGAATTCAATCGTAAAGAAACGTGTCTATATTTTTGACGACGTTTCTGAGTGCGACTGAGATGAATCATGAATACAGTCGTGACAACACCTTTCAAATGGGAATTTCTGATAGAGATCGGTGAATTATACCATAAATTAACACATGAGAAATTGGTCATGAACTTTATTGTTTTGGAAATGGTGAATTTTATATGGACAAGACTCATATTTGTTTCTATCAACCTAATCAACGCAAACAAATTATGTCGCTTGTGGGATTTGTTAAAGGAACAAATGATTCAGGATGGTAGAAAGAATAGCAGGTGCGTTGTAGTGATCTTATTTATGTTAATGTGGGTGCTTAAACGCAATGCCTTGTGAGAATATATACCATACCATCCCTGCTTGTGTAATATGTTCCTTAATATTAAAGTCATAGTCATGATTAATTATCACTCTGCTGAGAAGACCTCAATGGTGTTTTATTCCAAAGAAGCAGATTAAAATTAATAAATTTGAAAGAAATTGAAAGTTGTAAAATAATGGTATCTCATTTCTGTGCTTTTTTGATCCTATAGAGACAGTATAAAGTGAAGGTGGAACAATGCTGCAAACAGTTACTTTCAGTTGCATGTCTAGATATGCATTATATTGCATTGTGTAAAAACAATTTAAT